GGGGTGGGGGGGGGGGGGGACACAGAACTTTTCTAAAAAAGAAAGAAAAGGAAAACAGATCTGAATAAGCTGTCCAGAGTGCAAAAGAGGCTACAAAGTACAAAATATTCATGAAAGCACGTGTACCTGGGAGCCCTGGAAGACTGAACGAGGGCTAGCAAACATCCAATCAGAGTTCTGGAAGGAGTAAATACGGAGAACAGGAAAAGGGCAATATTCATAAAGATAATGGCTGAGAATTCTCCCCAAGTGATAAAAACTAGGCATTCAAGGATGCAAACAGAAAAAAATGTCGAGCGATGTGTTAAAAAAAAAAAAAAATCCATACTTAAGAGACGTCAAGGAAAAATAGCAGCAGAACACCAAAGACAAAAAGGAAAGGGAAAACACATATTATTTACCAAGGATTAGTCTAACTGCAGTATTTTAACTACAACAGAAACCAGAACACAATGGAATACAATCTTCCAAAAGAATAAACAACTATTCATCTGGAGTTAAGAAAGACAGCGAAACAGAAATGTTCAAACAAACCGAGCCTCCCGCCATCAGACCCTACAGAGGCACTTCCGGAGGAAGTTACTTCGGGAAGGCAATGAACCCAGAGGGGTCAGATGAAAGGAGGACAAAGGGGTCCATCTGCACCTAAAGCTGGAAGTGACAAGGCCCACTGACAAGCTAAAACGCCTGCACAGGACAACCGGCGGGGGCGGAGAATCATGACCGAGAGCCTGCCGAGAAAGCGAGAGGGGCCTGTGGCAGGAAGGCGCGGTGGCCAGAGCGGCGCTTCCTCCTCGGGACTCCAAGGACTCTGCATCAGAAGGGAATGCTGTGCGATGGCAGCGGTCGAAACAGAGTGCCCTCTCAAGCGTTACGAAGGACCGAACAGTGTGGCCCAGGAACGTGCCTGACTGGACCGCTACAAGGGACATCTATGGCCACCGCAGTGAAGAGTTCCACTGATTCCTTGTTGAGGAAGACTTGAAAATTATCGACAAAATCCCACTTCGTATCGTATGTTCCTCATGATACACATAATACTTTTTGTTAACCATAAAGTAAACAGAAGCTAGTTCTCAAAACAAACCAGTAGAACACACACTCCGGAGAGAGAAAATGTCACTTGTGAATCATCTGTGGCATATCCCCAAACTGGAGCACCCGCCTCGGCTCCCACAAGCCTCGCCGAAGAAGTAAGGAGGTGCTTCTCTACCCACAGCTGGGCTGTGCCCACAGTAGGGAGACCAAGAGCAATGCCTCACCCTAGCAGCAACGGCTGATGGGCTCTGAGCAGAAACATGGACATGAAATCATGAAACGACAAGAGAATTAGTGCTATCAATCCCATGACCCCTCTTTCTCACAAGTCAATCAAATTCACATGGCCATCTGATGCAAAGACCCGTAGAGCCAGTTAGTCCTCCCATCTGAAACGAAAACTGCATCATAAATCCAAGCTCTCCCTCTAAGAATGTAAGGAAATCAAGAATCGAGAGACGGTGCTGCGGAGGAGATATTAAACAAATCCTCACTGGTGCAAAAATGGTACAAATGTAAAGAACGCAGGGAGAATACTTGCACCAAAATATTAAAGCCTCAAGAAACAGTATTCCCCATGCTTTAGTAAAATGAATAATCAGATGCAGATAAGACCATATGCATAAAAATATTTCCTAGGAACGACATCTTAATATTTTGTGAGAATGGATATACCAATTCAACAGCATTTTCTACTATAAACAATAAGAACTCAATAAATAAAACAATTCCAAACATACCTGATGATCCATGTATAAGTAATTCTTTCTCCTTTTCTATTTCATCCGCGGCACGATATATGTCTTCCTCTCTGAAATCACACCAAATGAGACATTTCAAAAATCTGCCGCACTGACATTTTCCCCTTATCACAATATGCAGGTGCTTAAAAATGGATAAGACATTCAAGGTTTAATTTTTTTCACATTACATGATGACAATCTGATAAAATATGAGTCTTTCATCTTAGATGCTCGTGTTTCTATCATCCCACTTTAATTTCTTACTTTAAATGAGACATTTTTCATCACTTCACTTCACCTGGCTCTTGTTACATTTTTATTATAATGTCTATTAATGCCTCAACTACATACCTAAGCATCTTAGCATGTATCTTATCATTGAAGCCCTGTCACAATTCTATCAAGTTCCAAGAATGGAGACAGTGCTATTAAAAGTATTTATACAGGAGTGCAGGCCAACTGCTGGCTTTAATATGTCAAAAGGAAATTTTAAAATAGCTACTTTAAAAACAAGACAGGAAAGCATTGATTATTAAAAGTCCCCAAAGCTAAAAAAAAAAAAAAACTTCTCAAGGCTCCTCCTGCTCCCTGACCCCACATTCAAGCAGCCACCCATGCTCTGTTGAGCATTTCCCGACTGTCCCACATACTTCAAATGCGGCCACTACTGCTGACTTGGCACATAAATAATTGCTTCCTAAAGAGTCTTTAGTCTCACTTAGTGAACTAGCAAGAACTACTACATACTAGAAAGGGAGAAAAATCCACTGGGTGCTAGACAAGGATGAAGGACAGGATGTCTGGTTTTATGATGCCTTCTTTCCCTCAAGATATACCACATAACAATGATGGAAAACAGAAACACCGTCTTTGCTAAAACCACAATGCATGTGAAAGCCCAAACGGTCCACAAGTAAATGAAGGAGCAGTAAATGACAGAGAACAGGGACATCTTGCTGCCAAGGGAAGGGCATCTGCCAGAGGGAAGACCAGTAAATCCTGTGGAACCCCAGAAAAGCTTAGGAATTGGAGGTGACAAGTACTTCAGAACGTACAGGAGACACCCAGAGCTGAAATCAAGGAAACTGGCTGATACACAGCGGAGGAGTAATCAGACGCTCAATTCCCTGTACTCCCTCCCCATGACAGCACATCCCCATCCTCATCCAAGACCGGAGGCTCCAGGCGCAATGGAACACAGGAAGGAAGGGTTCAATACTCCCACCCCCAACTCCCTTAGCACCCCTGCTCCTCACCCATGGCCTAGCATAGCTGGGGGAAAGAAAAGGGGGTGAGAAGGGGAGAGAGATGAAGAAGGGGTGCTGAGAGGTGGGGAATCAAACATAGCTGCCTCTCCCCATCCCGCTGAAACCGTGAAAAGGCTCTCAAAGAAGCAGGGAAGTTAAACCTGGACCTGCCCTATCATCCAGCCAGCATTCCATGATTTCTCTACACACATCACGTCGGTCCAAACACTTGCCCAACACAAGCCTGCACTTTCACACCTGTGATGAGTCATGCCTAGCCCCTCTGCCTGAAGGCTCACTGCCTCACACATCGGAACACGTGCTTTGTGGCGACCCCGCTGTAAAGTGCCATGGCTGGAGTGGGGGTCCGGAGTTAGAATGTCACAGTTCGACCACTCCTCAGTCTAGCCCTTACTAGCTGTATGTATGACTGTGGAACTGAAGTAACTACACCTCTGTGCACCTAAATGTAACTATCTGTAACAAACAGCAAGAGTCCCTACCTCAAAGCGCCTGTGAGAAGAAACACATGTAAAATGCTCTGCACTCCAAAAAGTCAATTCTCATACTAATATCCATTGGTACAATTCACCCAGTGATCATTTCCTATTCTCTTTTTCTCTCTAAAATAAAGGTGATGGTATGTGTGTGCCTACTTTTTTTTTAATGCTGTGGGGTTAAAGGGACATATTAGGGAAAAGGTACTTTCCATGTGCTCCGGCTCCAGTAAAAGGTAGTGATGTCACCCAGAGCCTGCACCAGAGTTAAAAGCAAACAGAAACCAGATTCGCGGGGACTATACATCAAACGCCTAAAATAAAGTGATTAAATGTGTTAGTTCTTCTTTCACTAATTTAATGATATCTTTCAGCCACCTTCCTAGCTTTGTCAAATAGGAGAGAAATTCTGATGCTATAAAACAGGCATTCAAGTGAATCATTTTCATAACATCATTCTCACAAGCGTGTCTTTGGGCAAGCCACTTCCCTAATCCTGGCCTATTTTCTCATCTTCAGAATGGAAAGATTAGACAAGATCTATTCAATTTACATGGTTCCTTTTCCAGCTCTTACTCCTAACAGACTATGAATCTATTTGTCATTAAAAATTCAACTTCAAGCAAATTCTACATGCACATGTGGCTTTACTTTCGTCCTCTTCCTTTTTAACCTACAAAATAACCAAACTTTGATTGCAACACCAGTGCCCAGTTGGGGTACTCTAAACAAACATTTCTCAGTACAGCCACAAATACAAATTCCCACAAAGGCCAACGGAAGAATGAAAAGAAATCAACAGAACTAAACACGAAGGGAAGACAGAAACAGAAAGCGAGATTATGGGAAATAAAAAAAGTAGCGATTCACGATATACAAAAGAAGCAAAGCAGACATTGATGAATGGGGCTCAGAGTATATTCAAATTACTTTAGCCACAACCAGATTTCATTCAGATCCCGTGCACAAATGTTTGCTGACTTCCAGGCCCACCAATGACATGTAACCAAGGACATTTGTTTAACTAAGGCCACCAAGGAAATTGTAATATTGCCTTTAAAGGCCACCTTAAAAATTATCCTAAAGCTGTATTTCCTTGCAGAGAAGATAAATTTTAAGTTTAAGCAATAAAGCTCAATCAATATGGTCAGAAAAGACATTTAACAGCCAAAATGAAGTATTCATCCAACATAAGGGCAATTAACTAGAAAGAGAGAAAAACGGATGTGGGAGAACAAGAAAAATAAAACTTATTTTATTTAAGAAAATACTTAACTCAATAAATTTTGCTTTAACTTTTTAAAGTATCAAAATATCACAGCTGAAAATAATAAAATGGAATTATATGTAAAGCTGTGAATCTGAAACGGCTAGAGGTTTGAAATTTTGTCACAGGAAGGGAAGACAATGAAACAATAATAAGAAAGGACTATTACATGATAAGATAAAAACCATTACAGTTTCAAAAATTCAGCAATCTTTTGTAAGTTCCAAGTTGAGGTGGGGGTGGAGAATGTCCACTATTTGGCATAAAAAAAGGCCACTGAAGCCCATGGACTCTAATGATCACCATGGCAAAGTTTGCTCTAGAAAACACACAGACACCCAGAAAAGTGGAAAAAAAAAAAAAAAAGGTAAGACAAAGTCATAAATATGACCAATTATACGGTTAAGTTAAATTGCCTTAAAACCACAATTTAAAACCAAAATTCTTACACTAGAAGCAAAATATTTTATTAATATTAAGGCAATATACACCACTGAGTAAGTTACGTGATGTTACATCTTAAATTATAAATTTCCTCTTGCCTTGTTCAAAGACCTGCTTAACAATAAATTTTTGAAAATTTAATAAATATAAAAATGCTCACTACATATAGACAAAATTATACTATTCCCAAGAACAAAAGCTATAAGCTAAAAACACGGAGCTCGGTGAAGCAGAAGACATTTCTGTGAAGTCCATTTTTCTGATCTCTGATACAAGTAAATGTGTAATATGAAAAAAGTCAATGCTGGTGTATATGCAAAGCTAACAAGGCACCATTTTAATCACGCACCATGATGAACATTTGTACCAACTTCCTCTTAGTTGTCTAAAAACGCTAAATTCAGTAGAACTTTGTTCAGCTCTCTGGACTTGAACACTGCAGTTCATGCTTAACTTGGCCTGTCCTAGAAGACTAATGGCCCAGGCAGTGTGGGTGACAGTGTCAACCACTGTGACACCACTGCACCCTCCCACACAGGCACAGGAAAAGCAAAGACCACTCAACCCAGTCTTTCCCCATCACTTAGCGTTTACAGAGATGGGTGAACAACACATCAAATGCAGGAAAGTACCGGCACCCAGGCCAAAATTCCACCTCCCTTCTGTAAGCAGACTTTCCACGACTGGCTTATGCTACCCCATGTGACTTAGAGGTAGCTGGGGATAATCCAGACCCCTCAACAATAAGGTCTGATTCACAGAGACAACCCAGCCCTAGACCCTGAAGCAGGCTCTACATCCAGATGGGGGAAGGGGCAGGAAGAAGTAGCTGTCACCCCATCAAACACAGGCCCCGGGACCTGCTAAGACGTGAGGCGGGTGAAAAAACACATTCACACAATAGTGTATTTAGCAACACTCAATAACAGTGGTTTAGCAAATTTGTTGCTGTTCACAGTTCTTTTAAGAATCCACAGCTTTCACCAGAACTTCAGCCCAGAAAAACATAAATCACATAAAATTCTGCCTCCAGAGGGGTTCACAAACATGCTCCTCCCCCACACCCCCACCCACAGCCGGCCTACGGATCTTAGATTCAAACCCTGTCCCACCATCAGACAGGGAAGGGCCATGGAGTAGTCTCACTTCTCAATTCCCTGGCCACCAACCATGTCCCAGGACTATCTTGGTCCTCAAGGACTGTAGTATGGATTAGTGGAGCTAAGGGCAAGAAGTGGACATAGCATACGGTTCAAATGTGAGGGTGGGGTGAGCAGGGGATAAAGCATAAGAGAACAGCTGATAGAAGCAATGAGGAAGCTCCAAAAAAAGTTAACTAAATCTAGCCTGACCTAAGACGGCTTTAACAGGACTCATAAGTCACCTTGTGAGCCAACCTCAGGCTTGTCCAGCGGATGCCAGCCAACCACAGCTCTCAAATGAGCTAAGAAGGAAAGGAAAGAAAAGAAGGAGGGGGGTTGGAAGGAAGGAGATTTAAAAGTAGTTAATGTATGTGGTTTTTACATCTCTCTTCCCACTATTTGCCTCCCTCGTGAAATGCAGTGAGCTCGGGCTAAAGGAATCAGTATCCTTCAGTACTGCCTAGGAAATGAGCCATGCCTTCTCCTATTCATCACTGTACCTTCAAAGAGACATGTCAAATGAACAATGGCTGCAAAAGCTGGACTATGGTTTGCAGTCATAATTACTGCCTGCTGACTGTATTAAAAATGAATCTGCAGGATATCTCAAAATAGCTGCAGTTGTATGGTGTTTCATACATCCAGGAGCAAATATTTTACTTAATTCCTATGCAGGGCAAATCAAATTTTTGAGTGGGAAGAACGGACTTCACTCCAATGATAGAAAAAACTATTTTTGGTTGTAATTCAGGCATTACACTATTTATTTAAATATATGCCCAATGATTAGGCTGAATATATCATCATGTAAGAACTAGTGTGCACATATTATATTGCAAACTATGTAATAAGCAATATTTATGTGATGCAGTACAGTTTCTCTAGCCCTTAAGAAAATATCACGGAGCAAAAATAGCTTCAATGCCCATATAATAAGCAAGAAAGCCCAACACATAAAATGTGATGTTCACAGGTTATTGACATATGAAGTTATCTTCACCTCCTTTCCCTTGCTCCTCTTTGTTCTCTTATGAGTTAAAGGAGAATAAGATCATCCTTAAAGACAACAAAAGCAAGAAGAAAAAGAAATAAAGTTCTAAATAAACTGCAAACTGAAACATCTATTCCAGGGGAAAAAAATTTGAAGTTTGCTGTCATTATAAATCATGTCTCTCTGCCTGGCTTTGCTAAGGAAGCCAGAGATGGGAGGAGGTTCCCACCCAGACATCAGGGAACATGGCCCTGAAACCTCCTACCTGTGTCTCCTTGCCAAGCTATACCTATCAAATCTGCAACTCAGTTTGTTAATGTGTAAAACGACAAAGCTAGGATGGATTTTTTTAGATTCCTTTCAGCTCTAAGTCTGTAAATCTACTGACCATAGACAGAAGAGGCACCTGTGCCACAAAACCTTTTCACCAAGGAGAGCTCCATCTACACTATGACCCATTCCCCTAGGTGCTCAGACTCTGGGAACCACATCCAGCAGGAAAAGTTGCCACATAACTCTGCGTACTTTTGGGAACATAGTTCTGGCTTCAGAGTTTCTGCATCACCCAAAGGGCTTGTAACAGCTCAGGCTGAGGCTGAGGAGCAGCATCTGAGGGGTAAGGACCACTAGGTGGGGGCACAAGCGACGTGGCAGCTGCCAGCCTGGCAGTAGCAGTTAGGAATCAGCATGGGCTATGGAGGGGAAGAGGCAGAAGACACCCTCCTACTTCACTGGCTGCAGAGGCTGAGGTAGGTCTCCAACCCAGGTAGCAAAACTGCAGCCACAGGTCACATCAGATCACAGATGGGCCTGCTCAGTGGTTTTAAATATAAAATAAAATGCTACTACTTAAATATAAAATAACATGCTACTACTTAAAAGTCAGGATATTTCATACAAAAGTCAGGATATCTGGATTCTTTAAATACAAAAAATCCAGCAACTATAGGCTGAAACAGCAGATTCTGTCCCCAACAGAGATGGGCCCAGCTCTCCAAGATCCCATGGTCCACGCCTGGCCTGCTTCACTCAGGTTAGTTTCCCAGTGGCCATAAGGTGTGGATAATTCCACCCAGTAAATGAGAATGTCACATCCATGGTAAAGAACCATGCAAATGAGATATTATAATACACTATCTGCCTAAGAGGCCCGAGATGGACTGCTTCCTTCAGCTTCGGAATTCAAAAACACTTGTATGTGCTTACAACTTGGAAAGGATAGAAAAAGTTTGAGCTTTCAAGTTTATATTCTGCTTCCACCTCCCCCGGCTTGCAGAAACTACAAACGCTTCTGAATTACGCTGCCTTCTTTACAGTTCTGTAAGGAACAGATCTAACCTGCACTACCTTTCGTATTTATAAATTAAGGTGTGGGGATACCTAGCTAAGCCGTTAAGCAAAACAGAATTGAATCAGACTCTGTCCAAAGTCTGTCCAACAGGTGGGACGCTCACCAAGTGGGGACTTGCCTTCCAAGAACAAACATGTCGCGTGGCTGAGTTTTCCTATGGCTGTGACAGAGGCAACTCTACTTCCAACCAGGTTGGAGGAAAGATCCACCGGGAGTTAGCTAGAACATAATAAACGCGTCTCGGGTTTGTTTCCCAAGTTTCTGGAGCTTCAACTTCAGAGCTACGTAGATATCCAAGAAGAAGGGAGAAGAGGCGCTGGATGACCATAATTGTGAGAGGGACCCTCCGAGAAAACATTTGTACTCGGACACTAGAAACGAGTGTCCTCAATTCCTCCTTGTCCACAAGACCTCACTCCGAATCGAGGGCACGAAAGGCCCTCCGCCGGCTACCCCTAGCCCACGGCACGCCCAGCCTTCCCGAGGGGACCGAGCCCCGTCCCGTCCGGTCCCCGCCGCGCCCCGCCACTCACTGCTCGGCCGGACACCGCACCGCAGCCAGCGGCTGCCCACTGGCCGACGCCTTCCCTCCATCCCGCGCCGCGGCTCTGGCCGGGCCCGGAGACGCGGCCCCCGCCTCCGGCGCCGGCTTCTCCGCACAGCTCACGCCCGGCCACGCTCCAGGCTGGGGCATGGTCCCCCGACTCATGGGGCGTCCCGGCACCGGCGCCGGTGCCACAGGGGTTCAG